CTCCTTTCCTCCCTCTGAAATCAATAAAGATATATTTAAAAAAACAAACAAACCACCAAAACTTTATAGGCTATGGATAGATTTGGAAATTTAGAGATCAACTAGAGATATAAATCTTGGAAAAATAGAAATATGCACACTCTACTGAGGAGGTTTTATTGTGTGTGTGTTTTTCTTTTTTAATAAAAGAAAAGAGAGAGGCAAAAATCAGAGGTAGGCCAGAGAGTTTTTTCACTTCTTTATTTGTTGTTTTATTTTATTTTATATACAGACTGGTCATAAATATGGTAAAATGTTAATAAAGAGGGCCAGAAGGAAAATAAAAGTTCAATACAAAGCAACATAAATATTTTATTTGCTGAGTTTAATAACTTGGTTTCTTTTAGAATTTCATTTGTTAATTCTTTTTCTATAAGCTTCATATTTTGGTGTATGTACAAGTAGGCAGCTTAAGTTAAACAAATTCTAACCTCTAATATAATATGTAAAATTATAAGTTCTACAGGTCTTTTATTAGACTATGTAGATATAAAAAATCTGATCAATAAAATTCACCTGTTGTCTAGGTCCATTCAGGCTGCTGTAACAAAATAACAGAGACTGAGTGCCTTAAGAAGAACAGAAATTTATTTCTCACAGCTCTGGAAGCTGGGAGTCTGAGATCAGGTTGCCGGCATTGTTGGGCGAGGGCCTTTCCCAGGTTCCAAGCTTTTCATTGTATCTTCATATGGTAGAAGAGGTGAGGGGTATCTTTAGGGCCTCTTTTATAAGGGCATGAATCCCATCATGAGGGAGTGCCCTGATGACCTAGTTATCTTCCAAGCCTCCACTTCTAGATACTATCATATTGGGCATTTAAATTTCAACATATGAATTTGGGGAGACACAAATATTCAATTTATAGCATATGTAATTTGCAAAGTTATTGTCAGGACTACTAGCATCCAAAAGGGATTATTCTCATATGCTATAAAAAGAAAACCATACCATTATATTAAAGAGTATTTTTTCTTTTATCCTTAGAAAATAAATGCATCTACTGTATTACCACCAGTGAAAACTAATACTAAATAGAGTGTAAGCTGCATCTTAATTTTTTCTCATTGTTCGCTTTTATTTTATTCCTTTTACATTTCTCTTCAGTAAGTTACTACTGAATATATAAGTTCATATTGTTTTATAGATGCTCGAATTTAACGAGCCTTTAGTCCAGGTGATTAAATGAGAAATTTTTGTATTTCCACACCTTCTGTTTTTTAATATGAAAGGGTTATTTTTTAAAATTTCTTATTTAGAGGCAAATGCTGAAAGAGTCCATTTTCAGGAACAACTGGCTTATGTTTAGAATTAAGCGTCACAGTTTCTAGTTAGCCTGCCTTTCCTGAGGCTTCGTGGTCTGCACTCTAGGAAAGCCTGACACCTGCTGGAACTGAAGCAGCTTGCATTGTCTCTGAATATGTGAGGTTACAGTGTGGGGAAAAGAAACAAAAAGAGGAAATTGGTAAAATAAAACAAATGTGTGGAAAATGGTTGCTTTAAAGTAACTTTAAAAATTGTTACTTATAAATATGTTATACATATCTAATTCTGTGTACCTTTTAAAATGTACTATTATTGGCTTTAAAACTTGAAAAATAGGTTGGATCCCAAAAGCAAACTCCATGTGTCTCCTGGGATGGGGACACTTTCAGCTCATTTTCCTAAAATTTTACACAGAGAATACGGTATATACACAATAACTTGTGACTCTGAGGCACAGTACAGTCATCTATCATCAAAAACTCAATTACATTCACCATACTGTGCCCACTATGGAAGGCGAATTAATGATGTCTGACAAAAGACTTTAACTGCAGAAGTCAATATATAAAAAGGGGTTTCTTCTTAAAACCTTAATTAACCAGAAAATTAAAGTATCAAAAATTCCCCATGCTCTGAGCTTTGCATGATTGCCTTTCAAAATATGCTTCAAATATTTATTTACATGATTCTTTTATAATACTAATTTGTTTCAAATATTTATTTACATGATTCTTGTGTAAAACTAATTTGTTTCAAATATTTATTTACACAATTTAGTGTAAATATTATTTTTAGAGTAAATAGACTTTTGAAAAAGATGGATTGTATAAAAGTACTTACACTAAAATAAAATGAATTAAAAACATGAATAGTTTGTATTTGAAAAAAGTTATTTTTCTTAAGGAGGTAAGTATCAGGATGAACTTATCTTTTAGACTGTTAGACAAAAATAAATATAAAAGTCTAATTATTTACGTGTGGTTTGCATAATAAGAATCTTTTCACTAAATCTAAGTACCTATTTCTGGTTTTTATTATTTCTTCTTTTATAAGGTGTATATTTTCTCTAGACTAGTTTATCATTTATGAGTTGAACTATATGTAAGTTCTAGTCTCTCATAATTTGATACAGGTCACTCCTTTTTAGTCTAATTGAAATTCTTATAAAATAAAGATTTTATAACATTTGGGAAGTATTTATGTTCATAACTTCTTAAGACTATAGAGATATTTTGAGAGCTAAACTTCATTATAAGAATTAAATATAAATGATATTAATAATCCTGTGTAATGGTTTTCTGGAAATTGTTATTGAACTGATATATGAGCAATTATAGTTAAGATGAATTCATCAGGTCATGAAAGAAGTCAAAACGGAGCCATGTCTCTACTTGCTATGAGGCAAAAAATTGGAAATATATAAATATATAGACCTATAGATATCTATTCTTTTCATTAAAAATCCTACTGAACTCTGAATTTTTAATCATTATTGGCAACAGCAAGTGTTTTATATATATTTTATTAGCTCATTTAGTCTCACAATAATCCTGTGAGATACATAATATAATATTTATTGTATAGGTGAGGAAGACACATTTAACATACAAAGTAATGGCTAATAAATTGTAGAATCAAGATATAAAAGCACACAGTCTGACTCCAACATCAAGTCAACAGCTGTGCTGCATGCTTCTCTAAAGTCAAGGAAATGTTTTCTTTATTATTTTGTTTCACTAATTTAGTTATCCCCAACCCTGCTCCTCTCCTTCTGCTTAATTTGACAATAGGGAAAAAAATTTTAAACATCTACACAGAATCTTTTCTTCATTTGCCTCCATGTGTGGAGTAAAAAGAGAGTGAAAATCTTGTTCAATAGTTGGTCCTTCATCATAGAAGTGACCTTCTAAATCTGACTTATATTATGGATGCTATCCCTTTCATCTGTGCCAAATATCTTCTCCAGATCGGTGGCCTTTCTTTTAAAATTATTCCTGGTGCCTTCACATAAAAAAATTCTTAAACTTTATTTATTCAAGTATTTTCATTACTATATAGACTGAGGAATTGCGGGGGTGGGTGGGAGTGTGTGGGGAGAGATTAACCAAGAAATTTATACGCATTATGCATAACCCGTGGACACAGATAATAGTGTGGTGAAGGCCTGGGGTCAGGGGACAGGTGCAGGGTGGAAGGAGTCAACGGGGGAAAAAGGAGACATCTGTAATACTTTAAACAATAAAGATAAATTTTTAAAAAATAAACATGTGACCCATCACCAAAAAAAGAAGAAAAAAACACACAATTGATGTTTTTGTAAATTGGATTTATATCCTGAAAGTTTGCTAAATTCACTTATTACCTCCAATAGTTTTCTTTGTAGATTATGACCTTCCTCATAAAACTCTTGTTTTCTATAAATATATATAATCTTGCCTCTTACTTTCCAGTTTATATGACTTTATTTCTCTTTCTTGCTTTATTACATTGACATGGTAATCCCAGGTTATACAGATATATACCTATGCTTTCTTCTAAGAGCTTTACAGTTTCAGCTCTTACTTGTAAGTCTTTGATTTATTTTTGAGTTAATTTTTATATCTGGTACGAGATAGATTAAATGTAGAGTTCAGATCAGGCATGTGTGCCCCTTTCTCTCAAGAATCATATCGCTGCATTGTCTGTTGTCCAAGTCTGAAAACTATTGCTTTATATATCTTGTCCAGCTTTATAGTTCTTACTAAAAACCTATATAGACTTACCAGGTAGATCTGGTGCTTTGTTATAGCCAGAGCCAGAAATTTCTGGAATTTATGTTTTTAGTTTATTCCATAAAAATTTGTAGAATAAGCTTATTAAACTTGTATCAAACTGAGGTTTGATTAAAAGTGCATTGAATCTACAGAGTAAATTGAGGAGAATTGATATCTTTACCTTGGCCCTTCCCATCAATGACCATAAGGTACTGGATTTTTTTTTTCAGGCTTTTCAATAAAGCTTAAATTTTTCATATATTAAATCTCACGCTTTTTTGTTGGATTTAACAAGATAATATTATTATTTTTGCTATTGTAAACAGTATTTTTTAAATTTGTTATTGGTACATTGAACTGTAACTGATCTTAAAGATGTGGCTAAACTTTTTATTAATTATTAAGTCTTCTATTGATCTTACCTACATTGCTGAACTCTCTTATTAATTAGAATTATTTGCATCTAGACTATTTCATTTTTTTCTTTATTCATAGTCGTTATCTGCTGCTAAAAAGAGTATTTTTTTCCCTCTTTTTGATCCTTACACCATTTATTTCTTTACTTCTGTCTTACTGCACATTATGTAGAGGTAATGAACTTAAGTCTGAATCTCCAATCTCAGCCCTAATATTGGTATTTGCCATAAGGGCAATCTTGGATTTTGACTTAGCTTATAGCTAAACAACACAGGTTCTGGTTTTATTTCTGATTTATTCTTAATTTCTTTTGATCTCCCAGTGTTCCTTTACTTTCCATGAGTACAGCAATGCAATAACAAATGCATTTTTCTCTCATCTCTAGATGTTCTAAAGCTAGATATCAATATTTCAAAGTATCTGATCTCCAGTACTGGCAGTAACAGGCATAGTTCTATGAAAATAATTTTGATAAAAAGAATTCTTGGACAATGATTTTTTTCCTAACAAGAATCATCTCTTCCTTAGGAACTGGTGTGCGTATGTACATACCAGATTATCTCCCACAATGATACTGTACAACCAAGCCACTAATGTTCCCAGTGGGAGAGCGCCTTGTGGCTGGAACAGCGGGTTCTGTCCTCAGAGGTACGTAATGGTTCTTGAAAATAGTAATTTCTTCCATCAAAATCATATATGGCCTGGAATATATAGAGAAAGTTAATTATCCCAGATACATATGTAAAGTAGGGTCATCACGTTAAACTAGATGTATGATCTTGAGTAAGTAAAATGTAGATACTAATAATACTTTGCCTCATATGGGTGTTTTTAGAACATGTAAGATAATGCAGTGAAATACTTGACACTAGTACCTGGTACTTTGTAAGTCTTCAATAAATGTTAATTCTCATGCTTGTTTCTATTTTTACTACAACTATTATGTGTATTCTATAACCTTATCAATAACCCCGTCCTTTATTTCCTTATGAAATTCACACACAGCTTTAAAGGTTTATTGATAATTTTTCGTTCTAGGTTAGAGAGAAGTCCACCAAGTGCAGTTATGCACAGTAAAGCAGCTACCTGGGGCCCTCCTTTTTGTGTCTATTTTCATGACTCATGTTATTTAGTTTTCACTTTTAAAAAATCTATGTAATTGTCCTAATATGTGGAGCTGAGTAACTGATAAATTCTCTGAATTCATACACAGGAGCTTAGCTGGGTGTATTTCAAAAGAACCTGCAATAAAAACTAAAATTGTTATTCAGGTCATGATGGTTAATGTTATGCAAATTGTCATACAAATAACTCGGGCAGTGAATCTGACACATCAGCAATCTGGAACAGCGCGCAGTAAGAATACATAAAATCAAGGTGTTTCTTAGTCCCTGGAGGAATCGCCACAGTTCATGGTCCAGAGAGCTAAGCACATCTTAGGGATTTGGGGGAGCTGAGCTCCAGTTCTGCTTTCAGCATTTACTCCCTTTGTGACAATTTCCTTGTCAACATGAGATACAAAGAATGCCTGGTTAATTCTTTAGTAATGAAAATATTACCCCAGAAACCTGTATCATATTGCCCCTTTGAGTTCAAGGTCTGTTTTTTTTTAATCTCTTTAAATAAACCAGAAATATGTATCTTTATTTGCATCTCTTATCTTTCTCTACCTTTGACTGGGTCTCTCCATTTACTCACTATTTTAGTATGTAGGCAATGGTTGTCCCTTTCTTGTTCATTGTGTCTGAGCAACATACAGCAGAAACCCAGTTTGCCAAAGCGGGGAACATAGACTCAAAGAACAACCCAGTTAACTGCCTGAGTTCCCTCCCACAAACCCGAAAGAGTCTTTTCCCCAACTGCCTGACTTCCTATTTAGCTTTAGCTGCTGGACTGGAGGTGATATTTCACTGGGCAGAGTTATTTACTGAATATAATTTACTGAAATAAGCAGAAATAGATAATTAGCCTACTTTTAGAGATGGAAGGAATCTTAAAGCTCATCTTAAAATTGAGGAATGACCTCACACATTTTGAATTGCCCATCAAGTTACAGCAGAAACTAAAACCCAAGTCTCCTGAAGCAAAGCCCAGTCTGTTGTAATGCATTTGCTCCACATAACAAAGGCTTTATTGATGAACTTGACTGCAGTGTCTCCAAGATGTTGTATCTCACAAACTCTAGCTCCTGCTGGGGAGCTCACCCACACAGCGTGGGCTGAGACTCTAGCTTGATCACTTTCAGATGGGAGACTCTGAGCAAATTATTTCATCCATGTGCCTCAGGTCTTCATTAGCAAAGCAGAATAATAATAATAATAATACTTTCTTTATAACTCTATGAGAATTAAAATAATATGCCCATTTCATAGACCCATTTGATAAATGTTAGCTAAATATTGAAGATATAGGGATAAAAACAATATGACCAAGTTGTATTTGTGATTTGCACTTATACACATAGAGCTTGCAATTGAGTATCATTCGCTATTTATGTTGATTATTGAAATATTATAGTTTCTTGATTTTCCTTTCATGGTTTCTTCTCAGAAATATTTCCTCATGTTAGATATCTCTCTCTCTCTCTCTCAGAGAAAAATACTATGTGAAAGAAATAATATATAGTATGATTAGAAACCTTGAGAAATGAGAAAGTTCAGGTTGAAAATCATAGTGGTTATCATAATCTCAATTAGATCACTAATTTGTTGTAAGTTGTTTGATATTGTTCAGGAGTAAAAAGGATCCTTTTAACTATAACAATATAAGAAATAATGACAATTAAAATAAAACAAATTATCCCTATAAACTATTTAAAAATTGGAATTAAAATAACTTTTAACATTGATTTAGTGAAAAGCATTATGAAAAGAAAAGCTATAGTGTTTTTAGAAATGTAATGATAGATATAAATTTAAAAGAGCAAATAGTATGACCTTTAGTACAGTTTGTAATATGTTTAAAGAAATCTAAGTTTGACAATAATATTAATAATAAATATAATACTAATACTAATGATAATAACAGATAACACTTACTGAATGCTTATTATATGTCAGAAATCATCCCAAACACTTTACATTAATTATTCCAACTGATACTTTCATGTGAGACAAAATAATCCTGCCGTTGCTCTCCTCCCTAGACCTCAGAGGACAGCAAAGCCTGTCTACAGGATGCAACATAAAATTGTTACCTCATTGGAATGGAAGTGCTGTCCTGGATTCAGTGGAGCAAAATGTGAGCTAAAAGGTACAGTCTTACTAATTTTGTAATAACAATTAGAAGCATAAAACTCCTGAAGGATAAGCAACTGATTCCAGTAAAGAAAAGAGTTGCATTTTCCCTTTTGAACCAGTTAGTTAACATGTAACCAAACTATTAGGACTGTCAGCTTTCGGAGCTCCCTAACTTAGTAACTATTATAGTACCCTAAAATCTCATAAGCTGTCTTTTAAATTCTCCTCTCATTTTTATGTTGGTTTTACATGACGAGTAAATGGAGATCTGACTAAATAGCTTCCTTTTTTCTTAACTATGTGCATGCCTTATTAAAGTACCAGAAATCCCAATTTTTAAATACATCATCATTAGACGTGATCCTATGTAAAAACAAACAAACAAAAAACTACTCTTTATTTTCCTTCCAGTTCAATTATTTGAAATAATACTGTGTTTATAAATGAAATTCAGTTTTAAAGAATACATATAAATATGGCATGAATTATTCTGCTTTTTTAAAAATCCTAATGGAGCCATTTTTCCAACTGAGATTTTAAGGGTTTTCTGGTGGCAGGGCTGATCAAACACACGGTAACCTGCTGTGGCCTAACATCTACGTGNCTGATCAAACACACGGTAACCTGCTGTGGCCTAACATCTACTGTTATTTTGCTTATGGCTTTAAACAGGTTTCCTTTGAAAAATATGTACGGCATCAACATACATATTTTAAATGAATGTTACAAGAAAAGCTATTAGCAGTGGTGAGGAATTCAATCAGCAGTGTCAGAGACTGTGATTAAAAATTAATGTAAGTGTGGAGAAACCATTATGATTCATATTTAAAAAAAGAAAGTTGCAATAAAAAAGCTATAGGAACCCTGAAATTTAGTTAGGGGTATTACATATGGTTCTTCTAGCCCAATTCAATGAGCATCTACAGGTAAATTGCACAGTTATGCTATTTGTTCTCGGTCTAGCCTTTCAGGGATGTTAAAAAAAAATAATACATTTTCAGAGTGTAGCATAAATATGTGCTTCATTTATAATCAGGTAAAATAAACTTTTAAACAAAATATCTATACTAAAAATATTTGGAAACAAGATAATTTAGGATATTCTTTAAAAATTCAAGTACGATACTGCTTTCAAAGGACTTTGGACTACCATGAGGTGCACAAATATGCTCACAGTGGTAAAACATATTTGTTTATAGTTCTGTATTTGGCAGATGGCGACAGTTCTGGGCAGTATTTAGAATTATATTTCTAAAGCCTGGTTAGTTTTTATATTTTTCTTCTGTGAAGAAGGTTTTGTTAGGAATATTAATTCTATTATTATTTCTTAAAGATTCAAGTGTTTGTTCACAGAATACATTTCTAGAAATTTAGAATGTCGTTACACATCCTATTGCACGTAAGGGGCTGAATGTAGATTTGTGGAAGGAAGCAAAGTCTGTACAATAGAGAATGTCATGGGCTCCAGCTGATAAGCACTGCTCTTGTATCAGGCTTTGTTGTTGTTGTTTTAAACTTATCTTTATTGTTGAAAGTATTACAGATGCCTCCTTTTCCCCCCATTGACCCCCTCCACCCTGCACTCACCCCCCACCCCAGGCCTTCCCCACACTGTGGTCTGTGTCCAGGGGTTATGCATATGTGCATATAAATTCTTGGTTAATCTGTCCCCACCCACCCACTCACCCCCGCCTTCCCTCTGAGATTTGTCAGTCTGTTCCATGCTTCTATGTCACTATTTTGTTCATCAGTTTATTTTGTTCTTTAGATTCCACATATAAGTGAGATCGTGTGATGTTTGTCTTTCTCTGCCTGGCTTATTCTGCTTAGCATAATATTCTCTAGGTCCATCCAAGCTGTCTCAAAGGGTAAGAGAGCCATCTTCTTTACAGCTGCATAGTATTCCATGGTGTAAATGTGCCACAGCTTTTTTATCCACTCATCTACTGATGGGAACAGGGCTGCTCAATGTTGCTAATCATCAGAGAGATGCAAATTAAAACCACAATGAGGTATCACTTCACTCCTGTCACAATGGCTCCATCAACAAATCAACAAATGACACGTGCTGGCGAGGGTGTGGAGAAAGGGGACCCTAGTACACTGCTGGTGGGAATGCAGACTGGGGCAGCCACTATGGAAAGCAGAGTGGAGTTTCCTCAAAAAATTAAAAATGGAGCTGCCTTTTGACCCAGTGTTCCCACTTCTAGGAACATATCCTAAGAATCCTGAAACACCAATCAGGCTTTGTTTTTTTGATGCCTACTGCAGTTAACCCTTAAACAATGCAGGGGTTAGGGGAGCTAATACCTTGCACAGTAAAAAATCCACATATAACTTCTGACTCCCATGGGTGATTGGTGACAGGACTCCCCAGAGATACACAAATCCACAGATGCTCAAGTTCCTGATATAAAATGGAGTCTTACAATGCATACAGTAGGCCCTCAGCATCTGTGGATTCCAAACCACCAATAGAAAATACTGTTTTCCATCTGGGTTGGTTGACTCTGTGGATGCAAAACCCTGGATACAGAGGGCTGGTTGCATATTTATTGAAAAAAATCCACTTATGAGTGGACCCACGCGGTTCAAGCCCATGTTGTGCAAGGGTCAACTCTAATCTGTTATTAATACACCAGGGAGGGAAAACAAACCATAGAATTTCATCATTATAAATGTACACACAAAAAACAAGACTAGTTGATGGTTTTTAATATCTGTTATATACTGTCATTCCCTTTTTCTCAGAGAATTATATGAAATATTTAAATTAAATTCAAATAGCTTAGTTTTGAATGTTTAATGACACCTTGTATTCTAAGTGGAAGCAACTTGTGGATATTTTTAACACAAGGTTTATAAATTGTTTCCATAAATCCTCATTAACAAAAATGTCTCAGAACCATTTTGACTATGACCCTCTGTCACAATACTATAATTAGAATTTCTCACAATGGAGGTGTCTGCTGATTAAGCTGCTGTGGAAAGGTCTTCTTTCTATTGAAATCTATAACAGGAATAATTTTCTGATGGCAGACATTCCCATTGTGTGATATTGTCATACAATTAATTCTACTATCACTGCAATTCCAAAAGAACCTGCTGTTGCTCCCTACAATATTCTGACCATCCTACTCTTTAGTTTTATTGCAGTATAAGCTTCTGAATTTTTTATTAGTGCAACTGATGCACTGGTAGTAACAAGAACTACTGTGTCCCTTCGTCCCTTCAACCATTCTTTATTATCTCATCTATTCTGGGGTGATTTTTTGTGTGTGTGCACATTTTCCCTAATTCCTACCCAATTACATGTCAAGTTCCTCCCTTTTTTTTTTTTTTTTTTTATCACACTTTATATATGTGCAACAGTCTTTTATTCTTATATAGGAGAAAAAATTGTCAGGTTTCCTTTGACAACACTGTCCATGCCGCCTCATATGACAAGCCACCCCAAATAAGGCAAGCATAATCAGTGTGGCCGTCCACTCTTTAAACCTCCTCAGAGCCCTCAAGGGTTTGGAATAACCTGGTGGTATGACACCGTGGTAATTACTTCAGGGCCAGTCCTTCACATTAGGAGATTATTGTATTCAAGGAAATTTGTAAAATACTGCAAAAACTTCTCAAGTTCTTGCTTCCCCAACAAGTTTCCTCCTTACAAGCAAACTAAATTCTATAAAACAAAAATCATAATTTTCTTTAAATTTGTATTGCAGTAGGAAGACCTTTTTAATTATGTAAAGAGATTAATAGATCAGGAATAAATCTGAGCTACTAGCAACTACACTCTTACTTTTCCTCTCCCAGTTGGCACCCCTCTGTCTTTTTCTTTCTCCCTCTATCTCTATAGATCCATCCCCAACCCGTTAGGAAGGAAAGTCATGATTCAAAGTCCTGGGGCAACCGGTCCTCTGTCTTATTCTACAACATGCTATTTATATTACTGAGCCTCCACACATGTTCTTTTTGCTGCAACTCAGATAGTCGAAATTCTGGTAGTAAGTTTTAGATTAGCTTATTAAAGTATTAGTCATATTTTCAAGAGGAAACCAATTTTTAAAAAGTCTAAGTGAATAGAACTTTGTTGAAAAAAAGGAAGAGCATCAGATCTAATGACACTATAATAGTTTTGATGTATTTTACATTTGTTATACCTTTTTAAGGGTCAAATAGTTTGTTTTCAGAAAGGGATCTAATTTTGTAATATGATATCTGAGATTTTTTTTGAAATGTCACTAACAACATACTTTTTAAGCCAATTTTATAAAATTTGCAATAATGTGTTTTTCCAGTAGATGTCTCTAAAATGTTCCAAAGTAGAACAGGGAAATTGTGGCTTTCTCTAATGACACAAAGAACAGAAATTTAAGTTCAAATAATATTAGATTAGAGAGGAGAAAAGAACAACTCCTTTGCAAATATGTTAAAAAATATTTAGTCATTTCCCCTTTATAGGAAAAAGGTTAAAAAAAGAAAAAAGCTATTTAATGAAACTATGCTTGTATAAATCTATCACAGATATTCTGAATGCTGAAAACATATAATCGTGCAGTTATTGGAATAAAGTGATTCCTACCTTATGTTATGAATATGTGGAAATATTTCATTTATCAAATACTAAAAAATAATTCAATAAATTATATAAGAGCTAGTGTAACTAACATTTTTTCAAATGGGGCTTCTCCAATAAGGTTATTTAAAAATATGACTTCAATTAATATGAAATAAAAATTTTAATCTTTAAAACAGAAAAAAAATCCCTCTGTTTCTTTTATGTTTGCATATCTAATTCTTCCAAGTAGTGACCTAATGCTTTTCTCTTTGAGAAAGAGCATTACCTCCTGCAAACAGGAGCAACCTCCTGTATTGTTCACTACAATTATGATACATTTTGTCAAAAAACACCTTGTACCTTAAGTCTTTCTTGTTCCAAATTGCCTTATTCGATTTAACTACTAAATCTCAGTAAATCTTTATATAGGTACTGACCTCCACCAAGCAGTCATTCACTGAATATTGCAGGATCAGCTGGACACCGTTCTTGTCAAGCCACACAGGAAGGTTTCTGGTCCTAAGGGCGAGAGAGCAAGCTTCTTCATTGCTGAGCTGCCATTAATGACTTCCTCCATGTGTCTCAAAGGCCTGAAAGAAAAAAAGAAAATTCACAAATAGCATTTGTCTAATTTAAAAAGAGAAGAAAAAAAAGAAAATATACTTCATAAGGAAGCTGTTGCTCTTGACACTTGCCAACCTTGCTTTCTTCTCTAAGTCCTTTGTCCATCAAGGCCAGAGTTTACAGTGCAAGGAAAAAAAGATAATTATGTTGGGAGAAGAGAAGACAGGAATCCAATTTTTTAAATATATTGAATTTTTTAAAAATCTGAAGTGCATAAATAAATGCTTTTTTGTCTCAGTTTCTATCTCGTACAGAAGATCCAGAAAAAAACAGACTTAGAAATCTATGCTCTATGGGACAAAGCAAAGGTCTATGTGTAAGTGCAAGATAAGATAGATTGCCTGGAAAACCTAAGATCTGTGGCAGTCCTTGTGGTAGAGAATACATATGGGAAGACAGAAAGATTGCTCAATGGAAAAAATAAAAGAGCATCGATCAGCCAGGAAGTTTATCACAGGAGAGTAACTGACTCCACTGTTAGAGATTCTATCAGCACTTCTCCACCAGCTAAATCCTGTGCAATAAATTGGGATGAATGCAAGTATTGAACTCCAGTCAACAAACAGAGCTAGAAAAAGATAAACTATTGAGTTTGTTAAACAGGCTTTTAAAGGGTTTAACAGACTTGGCAGGGACCCCATCCAATGAATTCCAGAGAAAAGAGGTTCATAGGGCAATTGAATCCTAAACGTCTTTGTGGGATGCTTACTAGTTGTTGTTTTTTTAACGTAAGAGTACAATTTTCTCACCTATTTCCTCCTAACACAATTAATTTAAGAATAACTCTAGCTAAGAGCAAATAGGAAGTTTAATGCACACACACAACCACATTAGTTTTTGTCATTCACTATTTAAAGTATTTTTCCAATGACAATTTATTTTAAATCAGGCTTTTTAAAACTTCACAAAATTATGGAGAAAATTTTTCTTATTTCATATGTATGCTTCCACATAATTGGAGTGAATCGTCAAAAATCAGCATTCAAGAAAACTGGAGATTTTCACTCTTTACTTCTGTGTATGATTCTTTATGCCTTTCAGTTTCTTTTTCCTTTCTAAAGAAAATTACCTTAGAATAATAAATAAATTATTATTTATTTTTTCCCTAATCTTTTTAGATATTGTTTCTAATCTGCTGATTTTCTCCAGTATGTCACTTTTTATTCCCTTGTTTGCAATGCAATAGCATTTTTCCAGATCATTTGAAATTCTTTTGACCCTAAGTTCAATAGAAAATTAGACTTTACTCTTCATTTACCTCCTTTCTATTCTGGGCACTTGACCTTGTACCCAGGTTTGTTTTCACCTCTTGCACAGTCAGGATCTTGCCTTGACTGGGTGGCATAGAGAGAGCTATGAGGAGAAAGTGCCCCCACTCAAATATGACCCTAGAAGACTGAAAATAACCCCCCACACACACGCGCTCTTGTATGTGATTCTCTGCTTTTTTTTTCTTTTTTTTAATATATCTTTATTGATTTCAGAGAGAGGAAAGGAGAGGGAGAGAGAGAGATAGAAACATCAATGACTCTCTCGCCCCCGACTGGGGATCGAGCCTGCAGCCTCCCTGCTTTTCTAGTCCTTCCCAAATGCAGAAGGAAACAAGTGAAATGCGGTGTTATAATCTCCACATTCAATGTACAACATGCAATACTTTACAAAGCGTGAGATAAAGAGGCCTGATTTCATTAGAATATAATAATGCACTATAAAATAATGCCATACTATTTGTAATAAAGCTTTAGCAAAGTATTTTGAGCCTCTAGAAAGAAATCCTATGTAAAATGCTTGTGATTTTTGTTGAGGTCACTCCATTTCAGTAAGTGTCCTGAGCACCTAAACCAATCTGCCTCTTGGTTATGAGGATGCGGTGGAAAGGGTCAGGGGTCGTGTTCAAATATGTAACAACCAAGTCAGTGGTTATTTTATATATTAAAAGATGTTCCATAGTAACAAATTTTAATAACTTATTATAAATTCTCAAATAATATTTATGGAAAATTATGCACTGAAAACAATTAGTATGTATGAACAAGTAAACTAAGGTTAGCACCAAACAATTTGATGATTCTGCTAAAACACTGAATGTTTCATAGAGTCTACGTAGTGCATGACATGGGCCAGCAAACTGTTAGTTCTGAAAACACTCCCAGATCTTGTTACAATAGGAATTCCATTCATCATGTATTCTACAAGACATATCCTTTATTGTGCATCCACAATTACCTTGGAATGTTAATTTTATAATATTTATAACTAATTTATCATTGTATGTTTATTACATATTTGCCAACAGGTATGGCTGTACTTCAAAATTTTAATAATTGGTAGGCTACATTAGTGCACAGTGACTAAATATAATCTTGGAGGTAGGGTACGTAGAACGTTACTAGATGGGAGTGAGGAGTAATAGCCTGGGTTTTTAATGGAAAGGGTATTTTATTTCTGACACATTCAATAATTGTCTTCGATTGCTGGGAAGGTGGCTTAAACACTCTTCACAGTCTTCCAGGCTTAGCAGTACATATCCAGGGATCTTGTGTCATAACAGTAGAGAGCATGGAATTGTCTGCATGAGGGAATCGTAGACCTGTGAAAAGCACCTTCCACCCCACCCTACTTCACTTATTCCTTATAAAGACTCACCTCACTATAGAGTGGTAGGAGACTCAAGGTTTTCATTCATTAGAGTTTTAATAAATCATGTCTTTAGCATATGCTCTTGTTATCAACAAGCCTGTGTGACTATTTTAAAATCTATAAAGATCAATTTCTGTATTGCAATTTTAATATAAAAAATATCTGGTATTTTAAACAATGAATTTACTTCTTAGAATTAGAAAATTTTGCAATTTGTTCTCAATCAATGCTTCTTAAGCAGGGTCATACCTCAAAATCAACTGTCAAGTTTTAAAAATATATATATACACGTGCTCAATTCCCCAGAACAGATCTACTGAATCAGAATCTTCAGGGTGGGGGTGGGGATGGAAAGAACATTGACACTTCTAGTGTTTCAAAGTTTATAGGTGCTTCTTATATCCATCCATGATGAAAACCACTATTCTAAAGGAATGTTCAAAAAAATCCATAACATGTGGAGAAAATTCATGATAGAAAAGGAAATCTTCCTAGTAGGCTTGTTTGTATGTCACAAAACAATATAATCTTTGTTTTCACTATAATTGTGTACTGCTTCCTAACAAACTATCTGCTGCCTATTAAGTGATAATATGCCTTTTAATGCAGCAGCTTTTTTTATATTCCTATGATCTAGCTCAAAAAGTAACCAGTTAGAACATGAAAAGACCATTTGTTCATCCTGTTAAACCCACCTGTTCCTTTTGCTGTAAATACTCACAAGTCTGTATCCTGAACACTGTTTCACTGCTAAGAGAAACAGAAGGTAGTGAGGTGGGAGTTGCTAAGGAAGATTAATCTTTACACCCTACTCCAGTGTTTCTCACACTAATGTACATTGGGATCACCTGGAGAGCTAGTTAAACCACACATTGCTGCCCCACTGCAGAATTTTTTAAATGAGCAGGTGTGGGGTGGGGCCTAACAGTTGCATATTAGGAGTTCCCAAGTGATGCTGATATGGCTGATTGAGAGACCCTGGTTTGAGTACCATTGCTCTAAGTACCTTCTTGGGAAGACAGATTTTAGCTGCCAGAAATGCTTTATTACATCATCGAAGAAGGAATCTTGATTTCTAAAAATGCAATTATTTAATAGATATATTTGTATGAATTAATTTGAATTTAGGCTATAAAAACATTATTGCTAGAACTTAGCAGAAAATTAACACTTTCCATCACATACTCGAAGTCCCAAAGTGAGTCCACTTTTCCCCAAGCTATAGATTGTCTTCTTCAACCAAATAAATCAACAATTATGTAGGACTTTCTATAATACAGTGGGGGGTGGGGGTAAGATCAAAACAAAAACCTTGGACATGAATGGAAATTCATTAATTTAGCTCAATGCTCTGAGGAAAGGCAATGCAAAATTCAATCTAATAATAGAGGCTAACTCAAATGTATGCCAAATATATTATACTTCCTATGGAGTGGAGATACTTTACCATTATTGTCACAGCCACATACGCTTTTGAGAGCATGATTTCCATGAGCCAGAGGTGCAGTTTCTCTTTCTTTTCTTTCTTTCTTTCTTAAATATATCTTTATTGATTTCAGAGAGAGGAAAGGAGAGGGAGAGAGAGAGAGAAACATCAATGATGAGAGAGTCATTGATCGGCTGCCTCCTGCACGCCCCCTGCTGGGGATCGAGCCCGCAACCCGGGCATGTGCCCTGACCGGGAATCGAACCCCGATCGCCTGGATCCTAGGTCGAGCCACGCCGGGCGGCTGGAAGCTGCGTTGCTAACAAGCAGCCTTCCTGGCAGGCGGCTTGCGAAGCGGCTGCAGCTTTTTGCAGGGCTCATTTCCAAGGCCCCTCAATTATGCAGGCCGCGGATGCCTGCCCGTTTAGTTTCTCCAAACTACCAACAATTCTCGTCTAAGAGGAGACCGGAATTTTTTCTCGGGCCCCCATCGGAGACCTGCTCTCCGCAGCTCCCCGGGGGGCGGGCAGCGGGCGCTGCAGCCGAAGGGCAGGGAGCTCGGCCACATTGTTGCCACAGGATGGGAACGAGCGCGCAGCCCCCACGCTCACCGCTCTCCCCCGCTTGCCTCCCTGCAGCCCCGGAACGGCAGCGGCTGACCCACACCAGCCAGGCGGAGAGCCACGCGGCTGTCGGCGGAGAGGCAGGCGGGCAGCGGCGGCAGGACTGCTGTGACCCGGGTAATTACTGTCACCCCTACCCAGCTGTTGTCAGCGCCGTGTACAGCTTCCAAACAAGGCCTCGCTCGGCTGTCAGATGTTTGCTGGCGACGCATGAACATACCTCTGAGCCCCTTGCTGTGGTGCGGGAGGATCTGCGGCTGAGCAGCAGGCTCGCGGCCTAAGGGGCCCCGGGGGATTACTGGGGCTCCTGTGCACACAGAGGAGAGGAAAGGGGAGGGGACGGCTGCATTGCCAGGCTGTCAGGAAACCACGGGTTTCCAAAGGAACAGCAAGCTTTTGTCCCCCAAAGGCTGCAGTCATGGAGCATCTTGAGGTGGAAGGAAGGGCTGGATTCCTTGGAGGGAGCTCAGAAGGCTTCCTTCCCGTGGCGATGGAGATCACTGAAGGGTGCTGGTCACTTAGGGCAAAGTATGTGACTCGGAACCAGCAGGGGTCTCCTGTTGATCCAGAGTTGTCCCGTTGCATACTTTCTCAGCTTTCTAATCATAAGTACTTTGCTATTTCTTTTAGGCTTAACTTTATCTGTTAGAACCATGGATTGGTGACTGGGGATCTCTTTAAGAATGCAGGTGAATGTATCTTAGAAACTGTATTCTGATTTTTTAAAGACTTGGAATTCAGTATCTTCATAAGATACCATAACATCCGCCTTGAATTATTGAAGTGCATCTTAAAAGGCATGGAAAGTAGCCCTTAAACTGAAATCTCTCTTTCCGTAAATACCTCAGTCAAGAATAAAATTCTCAGAATATAAATACATCTGTATACATATAAGTATACAGCTACACATATTTAATGCTGGAGCGTTGGATTGGAAAGCAGAAGGTGAGGCATTAGCTCTGAAACCTTAAGCAAGTTATTTTGGTTTTCTGACCCTGAATTTCTTCATCTATTGAGATTGTAACAAAAACTCTTTGAGGTAAGCAAAACAAAACACAAACAAACAAATAATTTTTTTTAAAAGACCTGAACATTCTGGGCATAGTTAAAAGATTTTAGAAATCTAAGCTCACATAATACTTTTTAAAATTTCTACCCCTTAGTGTAAAATTCAGGTTGCTATTTGCTAAATGCATATAGCCTATACCTTTAAATATACAGTGCAAACATGATTTATTTGAATTATCTTTAAACCTATCATAAAATTTGAAAGGTTTTAAATATGTATTTTCTATTGTTTCCAATTTCCTCTTCTTCTCCACACAGCAGTGACACAAAAACTGACTGACCAGATGAACCTCCAGGCAGTGAAACTGACCCTTCTGCAGAAGAAGATTGATGATATTTCTTTGGTTGTGACTGATGTAAGGAACACCTACTCCTCCCTGGAAGAGAAAATCAATGAAGATAGAGGCAAGGAATTTCAATCTTTTCTAAAAGGTAAAAGTAAAACAAAATAAATTCATTCATTTAAGGCAAAAGGAAAGCAACTCATTATCTTTCCTCATATCGCTTCGGTATCTTTGCTTTAGATTGGGTGGTATATTAGTCTGTATAATACAGATATTAAAAAAAAAATTTTTATATCTCTTTATTGATTTCAGAGAGAGGAAAGGAGAGGGAGAGAGATAGAAACATCAATGATGAGAGAGCCATTGATCGAGCCCGCAACCCGGGCATGTGCCCTGACCGGGAATTGAACCCCAATAGCCTGGATCCTAGGTCGATGCTCAACCGCTGAGCCACGCCTGGCAGGGCCAGATATTTTTAAATAAGCTACTTTTAAATCACTTAATTCTGAAATAATTTGGAATATCTAAATATTTTCACTATGTCGTCAAATCTCTGACTGAATATTTCATCTGATTTATTGACATTATGTACCTAGTTATAGCCTAACTGCTATTTCTCTATAGTTAAAAGAAATTAAACTATGAGCCATATTTAATTTATTTTAATTGTGGTTTTCAGGTCAGGATAAAGATGAGGTTAAGGAGTGATTAACAAGGTAGCTAGATACATGGTTGTCTCAATAATATTGCTGAAGGTATTGAGGATAAATCTAAAGTGCATTATGATCCCAGAAAATATCTAGTTCCTACAGTACCATCAATAAAATATATTCTGAAACATCTAGGGTCAGAATAAGAATAATTTCTTCATAAATGCGAATCAGCTTTGTCTGAATTTTTTACTTTTAAAACAGAAGGCTGTGTTCCTTCCTGGAGCTTCTACGGGATAATTCAAGTTGTCAGAATTCATTTTCTTGCAGTTGTAGAACTGAGGTCCCATTGTCTTGGTAGCTCTAAACTGAGGCTTTTTCCCAGCTTCTGGAGTCCAGAGTTTCTTGCCTCATGTCCTTTCTCCATCTTCAAAAGCCCACAGCTGTTGAGTCCACCTGCCGCCTCTCAGGCTTCCCTTGGGCCTTTCCCTTCCTCTTTAAGGACTCATATGATTGCCGTGGGCTCCCCTGGATAATCCAGACTAATCTCCTCATCTCAAGGTTCTTAACCTTAATCACACCTGGTAAGGCCATTTGCCAGGTAAGATAACCTATTCACAGGTTCAGGGAGCTAGGGTGTGGACATCTTGGACAGGGCAGGATTATTCTGCCTTCCACAGGGATTTATAGATAGTGAGTAATTGCTCTGACAGTGTTAAGCACAGGGTACTAAGGGCCTGGTTGATAGTTTCGACAAATCCAGTGGAAAGAGACCAGGAAAGACTTATGTGAAGAGAAATCATCTCAACTAATAAATGATGGATCAGGAGGAGTTAATTAGCCAAAGGGATTTCAGGTAGAGCATGGGTATTCTAGGAAAATATTTCAGTTACTAGGAACATCTCAGCTCACTGGGTTAATTTTTTGTTTCCAAGTTTCAGGATTATTGGTTTCTTTCACTTTTTTCTACAAATAAAAAAAAGCACTCATTAAGCACATTTCTATCACTCACAAGTCATATTTTTTTCTATTTTTCACCTGTGGTTTACAGGTAAAAGAGATTTAAAAAAAAGTGGACGTTTCTATTTCCATATCATCTACCAGTATTATAGCAACCATGATCGTGTTTAAGCATGTAAATAACTGGTGCATAATTATAAGCCCTCTGAAAGAAAGACCCTGTTCTACGCTTCTGGCATGCCCACTATGGCCAAAACTTACTGATCACAAGCATGAGAGAGGAATACATTTTCCCTGAAGTAATAGCAGGAACAAGTAGTCAAATAGAAACAGGATATAATTGACTATAACCATCATAATGAAATTTGTTTAGCAAAATTTGGTTATCACAACCTGAGAGAATTAAGCCTGTCACCTGCTTCTACATAAACCTACTAACAAAACTTCTGGCAGCAACACAGAAAACATACACTCACAACAACAACAACACAATTCCCTCCTCATTAGGAGGCATTAGTTGTATACTGAGCACAATCAATTATGAGAATCAGAGGGCTTATAATTAATGAATGTCTTTATAGGCAACAAAAACTAAACTCACCCTCCCAGGTATTGTGCTTGCCTAGCAAAACCACAATTTCTTCCCTTGCTTATTCCAAATCTCAGGTGAGAAACACTGTTTATCTACTAGGATCCATAGAAAGTCTTCAGAATCAAATGCCCCAACCCCTTAAGAGGTATTTGAAAGTTATGAAAAGGCCATACATTTGCAACCACGGAAGGGGCATGTCAAGGTATCTGATATCAAGCATATCTAAGTCACCAAATACAATGTCATCTTTTTTAGAAAGTATGAGCACATGAGTCATATGAAATAGAATCAAACAAAATTATGTGCCCACTCAGATATTAACATAAGCACTTTTATGTATTTTTGTAAAAACAGATTCTTACACAGATGTTTCTTTGGTAACAAATTATAGAAATGTTACCTGAAAAGCTAATTTGTCCTGAAAAAAGTTTTTAAGCTAATAATCTAATTTCTTTTCAGTCACTACTGTGATTTTAGCCTTCACCCAATATATTTTTCCATTAAAGAACAGCTAAAGTATACCCTCTAATTTTAATTTTTATAGTTTATTATTTTCTTAATTACTTTGATCAATATTCTGTACTGAACTTTACCTATTTACAGTGTTTTTACCTACTATTATTCTTATTTGGACTTTCAAATCATGTTATTTTTCACTTCCTGAAATTAAATACCTATTATTATTGTATATAATTAATTAATTAATTCAAGCATGCTTAAGATTTACTTTACCTTTGCAATCTTGAAAATTATTTTAAAACCCAAATTGTAAGATTATAATTTTCAAGAAAGTCTGGTTTCTAACCTTAAATATTTTATTGTATTTCATCAAGCTGTCATCATGAGAATTAAAGACAATTTTAACAAACAGGAAATAGCTAAATGATCCTGAAGAAAGTACAATAAAAATAACTTTGCTGTTGAGAAGCACCTATACTTAGTGAAGCTAACATTTTAGTATCAGAAATGTCACCTTTCAAATTTTATGTTCTGTGTAGCGTATAGAATGCACTCAATGAAGATTTGTTTTATAAATGGATGACTGCTTAAATGCTAAGTAAAATTTGGAGAATTAAAATAGTTTATAACCTTTCTGGCATAATTATTCATGTTATTAAATACAAAAGCTAGGACCATTTCAGTATAATTTATCTTAATTGTGGCTTTGTAATCTTTTCTAATTAATTTAGCCATCCGTTAGTATTTAGTTGCTATGTGTCATTGATTACTATTCCACACTTCATATGGTTTTATTTTTTCTATTACATACAAATTGATTTTCACTTAATTTTTTTTGCCTTTTAAATTTATTTCAGTCTTCACTAGGTTTAGAAAGGTACAATAATTTTTTTTGGAAATCCTAGACCCTAAAGGTCAATTGAGCTTTAGGGTCTAGAATTTCCAACATTGATTTTTAGGGTCGAGAATTTCCAGGAAACTATTCATGTTAACAACATTTATAGCTTTATCTTAGTACCAGATTAAATAATACCACGATGCTCAAGCAATACCTCATTCTATTCAGGATAATTGCTCTTTCATAATAGTTTTTCTGTCATACATCTTAAATACTTTAGAACTTGCTAACACAATATATACATGTAGAGATTATATATTTTAGTCCTATAATCACCTTTTTTGAGTAGGCTTCATAGTAGCCATAACTCATTTTATAACATCCCATTGTTCAGACCTTGTTTAACATTCTTTGTATTGTGTTGCCTGTATTTTACATTATAGTCATTGCTTAGATTTTGGAATGGACATACCTTCTATCTTCATATGTATTATAAATATGCCTTCATATGTATTATAAATATGCCTTATTTGTTTTATTTTTTCTCATTTTCTGTTTTTGTAACAGGCTTTTGGTTTCATTTTGTTTTGTTTTTAAGTTTTACATTTTAATATGTGCATTTTCTAATCTAAATTGTTCTGAATAGTGCAGGATGTTTTCTCTTTTCCTTTTTTTTTTTTTTTTTTTTTT